CCTATGTACAACATACCTATGTACAACATACCTATGTACAACATACCGGGCTTTGGGATGGTTTTCCTCCAACAACATCCAACAACCTGTATATTCCAGGGAATCTGAGGGGGTCAGAGGCGGCAAACTGGTAAACAGATGCAGTTGACTCAATCGGAGGTCATGGTTTCCAGAATGCATAGAATGCGTAGAATTTGTCCACCGCGTCTCCCAGTCGAATAGCCTACGTGCTACTGCTAGATGCCCACATGGCCCAGAGTCCAGTGGTAGGAAAGCTGTCAAATTTGTTGCTGTAGTCTCTTGCACACATGTTTGGCTTCGTTAAACTTGAACCAGTTCACGAAACGCTATGGCATGTTCTCGTATTTGGGGTGTACTTCCTTGTGAAGGCGGAAAACCGCCTGTTGAAAGTTGAAAGAGACCCCAGCCCGTTGAAGTGCATGCGCCATTGCTTCTCTCAGGTTAGGGCGTCAAACAGAAACCTCATCCTCTCAGACCATTAAGCAGAGCCATTAAGTACAATTAATAGTAGTATTATGTAGTATTATAGTTGTTTACGATCCACGGTCAGCTGTCTTGTCAAGAATCCCACACCCTCGTCAACAGTCAGATAGCTGCGCAGCACTCCCAAGAATTGCTTTCATTGAACTCCATGTACTTCGCAGGTGAAAGTGCAGGCGGGACAGCGCAGCACGGCCAGTCTTCTGAGATTCCATTTGGAAAAGTAAGAAATAAAAAAAACATGGGGCAACCAAAATCGAGGAGCTGAAAGAACTATGGAAACCTGATGAAACCTCCACGGGAGACTTGTGTTCTGTTCAGCTGAAAGCAGCAAAGAATCTGACGTGAATGAGCCAAGCTTCTGGGTTTCTGCCAGCCTTGGAACCCATGAAGAGAGCCTCTAGTATAGCTGGCCACCCGGAAGTTTGTCAAAGGAGATGCTTCTCACCAGCTAACGTAGACTCTTGATATCTCTTTTCGCACCTCTTAAGTATGGGAGTATCAGTATGATGGAGTATGGGGTGTTGATACGTATCATGAACTATCATCCAGAGTCTACATGCGCCAGGCTGTTCTGACTTGGCCTTCGAATTCTCTCTTGCTCTCTGGCAGGCACATCGCCCTGAGGATGTCTGAGCACTCAGGATGTGAGCAAGGGCCGAACGAACCGACGAGCGATGTTTTTGGGATAAGTTTGGGGGGTGAAATCGGATTTGTTCATCCAAGATGTCTTTCAGAAAACGAACCAAGACAGAGGGTGAGATGGCCTCACCACCCCAGTCTTTTTGGCCTCCGTCTTTTTCGGAGGCGGGGATCTTTCCAAGTCTGAGCCAGACTCTTGGCTCAGTCTTCGAGGGTGTGTGTGTGTCAGAGTGTGTGTTTAAAGGGATATGATTGACCCAAACCCGTCGACTCAGGGTGTGTTCGCCTAAGTGTTCGGATTGAAGTAGTACACTCCCTGAAAGCATCATGGATACCGTGGAGTTCACCACCTGTTTGGTCTTCGGATTGCTTCCAAGTAAAAAGCAGTGCCATGCCATCCACGGTGTCCATGGTTTTTTCAGAACGTGTAAACCCGTCAGCGTCCGGATCCGTCATCCGTCAGCGTCCGGAAAACGTTGTTGGAGGTTGTGGCATTGCTTTCTGCTTGGGGCAGGCGACGTGGGGCTGGAGGTGGCCGGAGGTCGTGGTCGGGATCTCACACAGCTGTGTTGGCACCGGGTGCATGCAGTCTTTGGTGACCAAACTAGTGCAGTGAAACAAACTTCTTTCAGACAACAGCGAGCTGCTGAAATGCTTCATCATTTGCAGCCTTCCGGCAGTCATTGAAACAAAAACATCCACATACACTCCACAAAAAAGGATCGCTGGATTGCCGACGGTCTACCCTTTCCGGCAGGCATTTGCTATGTTTTGGCCGAAGACAAAACACCACACCCAGTGACACTTCATGGGACTGGCATATGAAAACCTACATTCACCCATATTCATGGCCGCGTCAGGCCGCGTCCGGTCGCGTGAAGGACTTCGGGCCTGGGGGTCGCGACCATTTTGAGACGTCGGGTCGGGGGGTTCGATGGCAGTTACCCCAACGTTGGGTGGTTTTGTTTTGGGCGCCTATCTTTTAAAGGACATCGACTGGGGTGCTTTTATGCTCAACCTCTGAAACCACTGTGCTTTTGATGCTCAACCTTTACCTGGGTTCTTTTGAACCAACTTGAACCCACTAATTCATACAACTTTTCCTTCATGAGTTGAAAGTACCTTAAGCAGTTGTCTTTCCTTCTTAAGACAGGGCCTCTGATCATCCATCCACAGATCGGAAACCTGGAGACTTTGTCAAAAGATCATCGTTACATGGATGGCACCTATTGGTAGAGGAAAAATGGATCATCCAAGCAACATGGTTCTTTTTTCGAAAAAACATGTTCTATGGTTCCTGGGAGTGTAGAGATCCAACGGTGGGCACACCGGCTCCCCTTTCGACATCTCTCGACCACGACGGCAGGCTTCAGGCGCTGCATGTGGGAGCCATTGAGGAGACTGAAGACGGTTGGAGTCCAAATTATATATAGATCCTAATGGGATATATATATATATATGTAGGTATTTATATATATATATATATGTGGTACCCCCCCAAAAAAGAAACACACACAACCTTATCATACATATGTATACAAACGATATATTATGTATGTTTATATTTGGGTTTTGGGACTCAGAGCAGATTGAGATATTTGGGAAGTATGACTCATTTATGTCTCAAGTCTGACAAGTGGAGAAACCTGTATGTCTCAAGTCTGGCAAGCGGAGCGTCTTGTTAATCTCAAGTCTGACAAGTCCTTTTTAGTGGATCCAAGATCCAAGATTCCTGGAGGGTCTTCTGCTCTGCACCACTTCAGATCTAGAGCAGATTGAGATATTTGGTCATGCCCAAGTATGACCCACTTCTGACCCAGAGCAGATTGAGATACAGCATTTGGTCTTGCAGGTCAGAAGATCAAAGATCCAAAATGGTGGGTTTTGGTGGGGGGATAGCATATATATATATATAGTTGTGCATATCGAAGAAAAGTCACACGCGTGGATTGCTCTGCATGTGCTTAAAAGCATACAGAGCTATTGCTCTGATGAAGCTCACTTCCCAAACGAACTCCATATACGAAGAGTCGAACAGTTGAGGGACAGCTTGCAGGTGATGGCAGGTTTATACTCCTGGTAAATGTTATATACTCCATCTTCCTCAAAGTGACCTTTTCAAGGTTCACAAGTGACCCTTAGGAGGCTTAACTGACCTCAAGCCAGGTTATCAAAAGGTCACTTTTAAGAACCAGGTTGATTTATTTTGGATTGTTTTGTGCTTGTCTTAACAGACAGATTGCTGAACTTTGAGGGAGAAGTAGCTTCAACACACAGTGCTTAAAGAGAGTGAACTTGTGGCCCCGGGTGAGATGGTGAGAGCCCATGCTGCGATCCGGACAGCTCCAGGAAACCAGCAGCGTTTTGATGAAAGGCCGGCGAGTTCACGGTCGTTGGGTACGGTGGGCACCTCGAGGGTACAGTGGATTGAGAGGTTCAATGGCACAAGTTACCTTCAAGTTGGGTGTTTTGATTTTGGACTCCCATCCGTCGACAGACATCAACAAGGGTGCGACCACTTGTACCCGAAGGATGTGTGCGATTTGCCGGGCCAAGTATGGCAGCCGGTTCTGAGATGTTCGGGGCAAACCGTTTGGTCCAAACCATCTGGCGAAGGTTTGTTTGGTGGATAAGTTGTCGGACGGTTTTGATAAGTGTGGTGCAGTCCATTGTTTGATTGCTTTTCTTCAGACAGAAAAGTCAGCTCTTTTTCAGTGAGTCATTGGTGTTTGTCACCCACTTCTCTACTTGAATCAGTTTCACACGAAAGATGTTCTTCGCTCTAGCAGAACTAAACACCTCGCCGGGTTCGCGCCTGAAAAATCACAGTTTGGGCACGTGCCGGGTGGCTCGCGCCCGGACAACACCGAACGGTCAGACGACGGCTCCGGCGTGCTCGAGAGCCTTGGTCCCACGGATTTGCGAGAGGTCGCTCGGAGGCATTTGGTTCATGGTGTCTATACCCCTGTTTTGGTTGGGAGTTTCCTTTGGACATGGCGTGAGCCCTGTGTTTTAGATAACATCCATAAGGAGTTCGTGGTGGGTGACGACCTGGGATGGTACACCCAGTGAGTTTGCAGTCGGAATCCGCCCTGGAGGGATCGATGGCGTGTGGATCGTGTGGAGAACAAGTGAGCCCAACTGGGAGAGGTTGACATCATGGATTCGTTGATCAGTCCTATAAAGCCTCACTGTTTGTGTTTTTTTGCATACACCTTGACGTTTGTATTGTTTCACATGAATCATAATGAATCATCTACATGCTCATACATGCTCTATATTTATGTATATAATTACTATGTTTAGAGCAAGTATGTGCATGTTGTTGTGGTTGTTGGTTGTTGGTTATGGTTGTTGTTGTTTGACAATTTGTTGGTTGTTCAAAGTTTGTTTACTATATACATGTGGAGACCCGTTAGATGATGGAAATTGCCGTAGATGTTTCTTCACTGCTTCCTATTGATGTATCATAGGTGTCTCATTCTTTCCCAGTGATTCAATATAATATGATTCAATTATTTGCTTTATTACTAGATCATCTAGATCTACAGGTCAACTGTTTGTGTATTGTATTTGTCTTTAATGGTTCATTAATATTTCTCATTGGCTTGCCTTGGGCTCTTCATTCGCTTTTCATTTGTTGGAATGGTTTCTCATTGGATGGTGTTTTTTACGCTGCCGTCCCAAATCTTTGGGCAACCTGTTTACAGGGGAGGTGTCCCCTGTGGGAGGCCACACCATAAACATTCATAGAATAGATTCTAAGCATAATCAAGCTGAGAACCCTTTAGCTTTGTCAATTGACTGGAGGACTGCAACACAGTTGTCTGCACATGTCTTTTGTTTCTGGTTGTCATGGCGGCAACATGTTGGAAAACACATCCGCCAGACACAAGAAAAAACACGTCGTCCCAGCAGGGTGTTGCCTTTCATTGGAAGATGTTTGCTGATACAGGCCCTTCTTTCTCTTTCAAAATGGTCTTTCTCCTGTTTCGATTCTCGGTTTCGGCTTGCACCCCACGCGTCCCTCCGCACCTCCTTCGTGCGATTTGGTCTCCGAGGTCGTGGTGGCCTATGCGCGCTCGCGCTGGGCCCGGGGTCCAAGTTTTCTGCTTCGCACCGAGAGACGAGACCACCCGTGCAGCCAGGCCAGCTGGAATTTTGTTCGACCTCAAAGAGGATTCATGCGAATTTGTGGGCACACGGCACACGGAGTGCGTTTTTTGTTTCTTTTTCTGGTTTGCACCCGGGGTCTTCGGAGTTTTGCACGAGACATCCCGTGGGCCACCCGTGAGTCAGTCGTGAACGCATGAGTCAGGCATGTCAGCCGATGGTGAAAGCTGTGGGCGACCAATTGAGTATGCTGGAAGGTGTGGAATGTCCATGGATTTGCTGCTGATGGCTTCACTATGCAGAGTGATATTGCTTGTTTACAGTGGCCACCAGTCACCAAGTCACAAATCAGAACTTTGGAAGTCCAATTGTCACTGCTCGACTCTTCTTTCCGCGCTCCACGTGTGGCCAGGAACTGATTTGAGCTTGCTGCAGGCACGCCAGGGGGTGCGTGGCCGCATCAAGGACTTGGTAGGAACAAACACGTTTCTATTCTAATCTACTTTACTGACTTCTAGCCACTGAGACCGTTGAGATACCTAGGTCGACTAGGTCGGCAAAAGAAAGGCGCGCTACTTCATATACCCAATACATACCGAATACATACCGATGTCTCTATCAGCCCAGTGGCCATCCGGTCTTCTTGGCAATCGCTCCGATGGGCTCTGTGGACAGATGGGGCTCTTCTTTGGAGAGCACCACCCATGCTTGGGGCAATTGGTGCCATCGAACCTCTCAATCCACTCTAACTGGAACTAACATGGTTACGATGGTTACGTGGATGTCATAGCCCCGAGTTCGGAAGACCATGAAATCCAGTTCAATCCACCATGAATTCCCTTCAGAGGTGAATGGAGCTGTTGGGTGATCATGGGAAGACACTTCCGAGGATCCGAACGAAGTTCCGGGAAAATCTTCACCCAGAAACGGCATCCGGGGTGGTTGAGACATCCTGGTTTTAAGGTGATTTGAATATGTTGCCTACTGGTATGGTCCAATCCTCTAACCTATAGGGAATATATTGTGTTATTTTTTCCAGCTTCCTTATGAAGCAAATCCTAGAAAATCAGAACTTCCGGTCAAACGGGTCAATGGGTCTTCCATGGACTCCCCGCGTTGCCGCGTTGCCGGGGTCGGCAGAACGCCGGGCGTTTTTGATACGGGTGTGTCGCACCATCGTATGCCAAAGTGTGTACCATCATCCTCCAATCAAAAGCTGGACATCACCAGCTGAGACATTTGACGTGTCTCAACCGTCCGCGCCCTCTCGTCTCGCCCCTCTTTTCATCCAACCGGGGCGGTTCGGGCGATGGTCTCCACCGGCCGCAGCAGCGGGAGCTGTTGGAATTCTCGCATTGCACGGTGCATTCCAGGTTGTTCCTCCCAGAGATCTCATGAGATCCCCACTCTGTTTCGACCCGCAGCTCAGATCTTGGCTCCTGTCTTGGTGGCCTTCTCCAGACTGCGCTGGCCCCACACCAGGTTCGGCAGTCCCTGGTGTGTCATGCGCGCCCAGCATGACGCGCGTGGGGATTTCGCACAGGTCCCACCATATCGTTAAATGTCTTTAGAATATATTGACTGACCAATGGATGCAACATGATCTTTGAAGAGAACATGAACATGCGTCAACATGTTCAAGATGTGCCACAGGTCAAGTACTTTATGTTGACTTGATTTAGCATGACATGGAGAAGCCGACTTGAATGCGTTCAACCATTCTGGTGGCGATCTCCAAGTAGGATTCAATGATGCAAAGATGGGTCAAGCTGTTTCAGAAGAGCAGTCGTGCGTTTGGTTTGGATCTTGTGGCACCATGAGGATCCGTGCGCACTTCGCCAGCTGATACAAGAACAACAGGATCACTAGGATCACCTTGCAATCCTGAGTGCTTTTCTCCAGAGGTCTGTCTGAGGTTGGTCATGTAAGATCTCGTGGGAATTGGTTCTCAACATATCAAGAATTACTTTACTTCGAGTGAACCCCCACCAGGACATTTCAATCTGACAAATTGTTTGGTATGTATTGAACCATTATTTCGGCATTCTTTCTGGCATATCTTCTGACATTATTTCTGATATCTTTTCTGGCATACCTTCTAACATTATTTTTGGCATATCTTCTGACATGTCTAACATTAATTATGTCCGGCATATCTTCTAAAATTCTTTCTGGCATCTCTTCTGACACTCTGTCTGACATTCTTTCTGGCATATCTTTTGACATTCTTTCTGACACTGTTTCTTGCATATCTTCTGACACTCTTAGGTCTTTCTGGCATGTCTTCTGACAGTCTTTCTGACACTCTTTCTGGGACATTTGCTGACACTCTTTCTGACATCTTTCTGCCATATCTTCTGACAGTGTTTCTGACATATCTGCTATCTGGCATATCTTCTGACATTCTATTTGGCGTTCTATCTGGCATATCTTCTGACTCGCGGCTAAGGTCCGGTGGGGAGAACACTGCCAGCCGAAGCTTGCGGTTGAGGTCTGGCGGGGAACACCAAGTGAGGTCCGCCGGGGAACACTGCCACACGACCCTCGCAGTTGAGGTCCGGCGGGGAAGACTGCCATCCTGCACTTGCGGTTGAGGTCCGGCGGGTAACGCTGCCATCCGACACTTGCGGTTGAGGAGGTGGAGGAGAAGGAGGACGAGGAGGAGGGGGAGGAGGCGGAGGAACAAGGCAGCTCACATAAAATCGAACAACCCTCACCAGACAGGTGGTGAAGTACAAGTGGGCTCTGCAATTCCTGTGTTTGGCATTTGTTGCCTGAAACAAAGCAATCCGGAAAAGGAAGGTAAAATACACTGCTCATCATAACACACACACATGTTTATATATATATATGTTCCACATGTCGTTCTTTTTAGACGTTCAACATATCTTGTAACGAGTGCTTAGGACTGATGAGATCGATCACGCGCCAGGCTCCAAGAGCGAACATTGACCACTCTGCAGGACTTGGAGGAGACAACCCGACATGTGGAGGGAGAGTCGGGCCGAGTGTGGGTCATGGATGGACATGGCACCGTGAACCCCACCAAAAAATCGTTCCAGGCGATATCCCTTTTTTGAGGGGTTTGTTCAATATATGATCCAGGATAAACCACAAAAAATACCGGGGTTTGAACTTTTACCGCGTCTGTCCTGTCCCATTCTGTTCCAACGCGTGTGCCAACCCCGCAGGTCCTTGAGGCTGGTTCCAGACTTGTTGCTTTCCCGACGTCCCGACTAGTTGAGTCGGTCCCCGGTGTTCCAGCGATGGCCGTGAATTCCGAGAGTTTCCAATGGATCGGAGGACGCTACAAGCTTGCCTCAGAGTTTCATGGTTTTGTTTAGGGTGATTTTCATTTTTGCGGATGGGTATATCCCTTGGGGCGGTTTTTGTTTCCGGTTCCTGCGCAGCAAATCCAAGGTTCGAACCCATCAGTTTGTTGAAGGGAGACATTGTGGTGGCGGAGACCTACAAACGGATGAAGCAGGAAAGGATGCAAGCATCGGAGGAAAAGGAGCGCAAGAAACGCAGCGAGTGGCAAAAAGAACAGCAACAAAAACTCCTGGAATTCTTGAAAAAACACCACTTCAACACCAAGGATGTGAATGGTGTGGGAGAGGTGAAGAAACGATTCTTTGGAATGATGAGTTCATACCAACGGCCACTGCATAAGGCCGCAAAGGAGAAGAATGTGGAAATCATTTTACTCCTTCTGCAATACGGTGCAGATCCCATGAGCAAGGACAGCAAGGGAAAGACCGCCTACGACTACGTGGAGTCCTCGCCGCTGCGCGCACGCATGAAAGCAGTGTATGTGAAAAGCCGTGCCAACGGAGAGTCGACCCTTCCTGAGTGATGCGGACCGTGGATGACCGTGGTTCCCATTTTGAATGTAGTGCGCACTGCTTCGAAACTTGAGAGGTAATTACAGACGAGGCAATATATATGCCACGTGATTGTTAGATGGCTGAACATGGCCCGATTTTTACAAATAGGCTCACCTTCTGGTTGGTACGTTTGGATTTCCACTCATTGTGCTCGAGAATCCGATACTTTGGTACTCAGTTTCGCGAATTTTGCTTGGAAGTCCTATAACAGTTTCTACCAGCAGGGGGTGACTGGCGGTGCAAGGTGCAAGGTGCAGCAGCCAAAAATGCTCGGGCTTGAAATAGTCATTGCTCCAAGGAGTCTCACTCAAACAACGGTTTTTGTTTTTGTTTGTGGTTTTTGGCCTGCTCTAATTGAGCAGGATGCTGCAGTATCTTCCGTGCACTTGGACTGATTCATAGCTGGAGCTGGAGCTCAAGCTATCTACCTGAAGACTCAGTAACCATGCGGTGCGGGGTTGACGTGGGTGGCAATGCAACAGCGGCTCTTAGTTAACCCCACGCGAATTGGTTGAGGTTAGGTCTGCCGACTGCACGTCCACAAGCCTGACTTGTGCTTGGAGCAGCCTTATAGTTTATAGGATGATGGGTCCCTGCACGATGGATGGCCTCCTCTATTGTTTCGAAACCTCCCAAGACGTCGTTCTGACCTTGGAAGTGTTTGAAACAGCCATGGTCGCCAGGGCCCATGGTCGCCACAGGTTCCAAGGCCCCCAGTTTCCAAGGAACACCGTGGGCTGGCGTGGGACAAAAGTGCCCCGCTCGATTTTTTGCTTCGGTTCGAGTAGTTCTTGCCTTTGGCTTGGCACATTTGGACTTTGCAGTGCAGCTGTTTTCACTGGCAAGGGGACTTGCAGTGAATCAGTCTAATCGGCAACAGCTTGTTGAAACAATTATATACATAGTTCATTGAATGACCTGCAACCTAGAAGCGAAGGCCTCCAACCTAGAAGCAATCTTTTGTTCCCCCACACTCGCCACAGCAAGTAAGTCGTGCTCCTTATACAGTCCTTTGCTCGGAGGAAAGACGCTGACAAATCGACACCTTAAATATCGAAGTGTCTTCTCTCTCAGCTGCTGAAGGATTTCTTTTCACTTCGCTGCCAATGTTTGGCTACAAACGTAAACCTGCAATTTTCATCAAGCATCCTGCCTTCTTGGACTGGTTCAGACCAGCAGTTGAAGTCAGAACTAGAAGGTCAATCAGTTCACCTTCGGCTGCGTGTTGGCATCGCTGCGCTAAGTCCGTGGCGCGTTTGTTGGTTGAACTCCGTCTTGAACGACGCGTTTCATTTCACAAGCCCTTTCATGTGCTTGGTACAGGGAAGTATTGATGGCTTGCAGGGCTGGTTGTCTTGTCATGTCTTGTTTCTTTGAATTCCTCGTTAAAGAGTGAACCCCTGGAAAAGTCATTTGAACGTGGTTTCTATCTATTTAGGGGACCCGCTAAAAACGTTCACCTTCGAAGATGTGCTGAAAAAAGCAGCTGGCCTTTCAGCCTGTGCCGCCAAACTCTCCAAGGAACTGAGAGTGGCTTTCAAGGGCTTTGCCCTTTCTCTTTCCGTTTCCAGGGTATCGCCTGACCAGATGGGTGCATGCCTGACCAGATTAGTGCATGCCTGTTTATGGTCTGGATCAGAACTTCCATGTCTGGACTTCAGGGATACGTTGTCATGCAAAAAATAGGCACAAGTCTGTCCTGTTGGCACCCAGAACGCCCGGAAGTCCAGGCCACTTCCGCCAGTGAGGGGATTATCACGGATCAGTCCATGGTGCAGATGGTTGAACAAGTTCCTCCAAACTTGCAGCCCATGGATCTTGGTTGTAACCTTCATGAGTTTTCTCAGACTAGAATGGGGGTTCCTGGTCTGCTTCCTGGTTTGTTTGTGGTTGAGAAGTCTCCATAGAGTTGGCCCTCTGCACGCAAGAACATGCAATGAACTCCAAGGGATCCATTGACCTTTGTGCAGCTGCTATTCCCTCAAGACTTGCACATCATCCTAAATTCCATGCAGCATGATCCAGCATATGCAGCAAGATGCAACATCCCGTACCATATGGACTGGTTCAACGTGGCCATTACTTGCAGGCCTTGCAGGCTTCAATTCAGCCAGACTGTGCGGGACATTGAAATTGCTGGGCTGCAACAACGCAGCTTTGCAAAGCTTTGCACGGTGTGGTTGGTCTGCGACGGCTCAACCTTTGCGATGTTTGCACTGAAGTGGAACAAACCCATGTCCCAACTGCGACCTTGAGGAACAGCATCTTCTTCAGTCCGGGTCCGGCAGTCCAGGTCGGGAGTCAGCTTGATCGAGCAGAGGGTTCGGAGAATCGAAAAAGGAAGGGCGACGAAGAGTTGGGCGGGCGAAGAGCTTGGCTATTGTGGCCACCTTCCGTTTGCTGTTCTCTTCTCTTTGTGGACTTTCTTTCTGCATCAAACATGATCAAACTGAGCTACGGTAACTTTTACGGTAACTGCATTTAGGATGTACGGGTCTATTCTGTACGGGTCTATTCTGTACGGTCTGTGTACATGTGGAGCCTGTTGCATGGTGATTTGCATTAGACTCCAATGTTGTGCCAGCTCTTCTTGACCATTGTCGGTTGTTGCTGGCCGCTTTGTTAGATCCTTTTAGCGAATCATGTGGTGCTTGCTTTGGCCCCGGTTCTGATGTTTGTCTAGGCCTTGTATGTGTTGGGCTCATGTCCCTCATGTCACCAGCTCCAGGGTCCGACCGGCAGGTCTTCTTCCAACGCCTCATCCGATCAGCCACCGGCACCGTCAGACCGACCTCAGCACCGGGGTTCCGGTTGCGAATCCGTACGGGTCCAGGACCATCCGAATCGCTCGGATGCCCGACCCCCCGTAAGACCATCCGAAAAGGAGGTACCTGGACCCTATGGGGTAGAGATAGGGGGTGGGATTGCACCTCTGTCCGCCGATGCCATCCCAGGGACCGTCGTTCGGACGACGCTGCGTGAGTCATGCTTTTGGGCCGCGTTGGACGGTGGGACTCGGCCCCTTGGGTGGAGGGAGTGGTCGGAGCGGCCCCCCAGGTGTCTTGTTGAGCCGAGGACGGCCGAGATGTTGGCTATTTAGCAACGATCACGAAAGATGAATTGATCTGAACTGAACAACAACCGATATCTCAATATATATATATATACCTAGCGCTTCCAATGGGTGTCCTGTCTGGTGATCTATCAGCAGTGAAGGGTTGTCCAGCTAGGTAACCCCTTGGAAGCAGCTGGTATACATATATATATATAATTCAGCTCTTCAGGACACTGATGCTCGCCGGGTGTCCCATTTCCATCGGATGGAATCACAGTGTTTTGTGTCGGTTGTCGGTGGTTCTTCTGCACAGCTTGTTTTCCAGCCTGCATGATGGACAACATGAAAAACAGCAGGGAGTGCATGTTGTATCATTTTGCGCCTGTTTGCTTTTTTCATCCAGCTATTCAACAAGTTTTCCTTGGATGACATGGGTAGATGCATCGGCTTCTCCTCGACTGGTATTCCATGGTGATTTCACCAGTACTCCTGTGATGTGCACAGATAACCCAGCCACTCCATGTAAGGAATATTTACATACATTGGGATGGTTGAAAAGGGGTGAATGTAGGTAAATAATTATGCCATACCCTATTGGAGGTTAGGGGTGCCCATGATCCACTCACTGGATGGGACTAAACACCACCCCGAGCTCTGTGACTCCTGGTACATTCATGGAGTGTTTGGGTCACGCCTGTGCCTGTCGATTTGACTCTTGTCGCCTGTTGAGTGTTTGGGCTTCAAGAGTCTGGTCTGGTTTTCTCCTGGACTCTGAGAGAACAGCGGTATATATATACTGCTCCGGAGGGACTTGAGCGGGAAGTTAGCTCCGGAAACGAGAGCGGGGAAGACGGGATGGCGCTGCTGAGCTGAAAAAGACACGGAATTCCTTCGTTGCGACGAACGGTAGAAACCCATGGCGACCGAGAAACCCCTGCGGCGCGTCGACTCGAGCTCCTCGAGCGCCCGGACCGGTCGCGTGGGACTCAAAGACACGGACCACGCAGGTCCACGCGACTGACTGAGGTTCCATGGCCCGGGTGGTGAGTTTGTCTGCGCAGGCAAGTGAAGGACATGAGGAGTCCTTGGCCACTTAAGGTGGATGAAATCATGATGAATCATGCTACAAAAGCAGCCTTTTGCTTGGCTCAGCGAAAACAAGTCTGCCAAGAGAGCTGCCTTGGTTAAAGATGTCAAATCTGCTCAATTCTCTTGTAGAACTGAACTTCGTAGCCCTTCATAGCCCTTCCAACAAGTGCTTGTTTGACCTTGCAATGAAGCTTGCCAGGCTTTGCAAGGTTCTGCCATGCTGGGCGGAACTCAAGATCTGTGGCTCACCACTTGCGAGGTGGGTTTCTGCCACTTGCAAGATCAGGTCGACGACCTGTTTGGGAGAATTGCCATTTGCCAACATTGACCCTGGATCAACCACCCCAGTGAGTCAGGTTTTCATCGGCCAGGTCCCATGGAGTTTGGAGGGTCTGGGAGACAGTTTGATGTTTGAAGTGTTTGACAGATTCATTACCCAGACACTCCATGACTCCATGGGACTGGCATATATACCGATCAGTTGGGGTGGTTTGGGGGGTCAATGTAGGCATATATGGCAGTCCCATGGAGTGTCTGGGTGATAATCTTCTGAATGTACTTTGACACATGCGGATTCTTAACCTCCCTGGAAACTGCAATGGAGGTTCCTCCAATGCCGCTGGATGTTCTCTCAGGTGGCAGCCCAACGATTGCTTTTGGCATGCCCTGACTCTGTTTGGATGCAGCTCAGCTGGGATTCCCAGCCAACTCGGCTTGACTGACCCCTTCTCAGCTCAGCTCGAAGACTCGACTGGGCGAAGCCAAGACTCGCCCGACTCCGTCCTCGTTCAACCGGCGACCACAGACCCCACGAGGGTGACCCGGACCGGCGACCACGGTGCTTCCAAAGGCGCTTGGAAGAGCAGCGGATTGGGCCCTGAGCTTTGGGACGAGGAAGAGTCCGAGGCCGCTCTCGTGAGAGAGCCTGACGGGTCAAATCTGCGGAGTGGGAGTAGGTGGGAGTCGAGAGTTCTCGAGCCGTGGATTCTGTGGTCTTCTTCATGTTTTTTTTGGGATGTTAAAGGGATGGAGAGTTCTACAGCGATCCGAAAACGCAGATCATACACAAAGTCATTGCTTTCGGACATGTACGGATATGTAGGGTCTCTCCACCAGGGAAGGGCATATTTGGTTGCATGGATCCAAGGGAAACGACCGGTCTCAACGCTCCCAACGACGGGTCTTCCGCACCGCAGGACGTCGAGCGAGAACGATGCTGGGAAAGGCCGGGGCAGATCGTCACAAGCTGTTTGTAGCCCATCAAATGGTCTTTCGGCCACTGACGGAGTGCAACATGGAAACCAAGACCCAATGTAGGCACAACACGATAATATGATATAGATAATAACTGTGGAGCCATCGCTATGATGTTGGACGCTATGATGTTGGAGCTCATCGCTATTTGATATGTAATTAATCATGCTCCCTGATAGAATCATGGTTGTGGCTTGGCCCCTGAAGACTCGGATGACCAGTTGGGGTTCTTTTTTCCATGTGAGTGACTTGGAGAGTATACACAGATTGCAGTATCATGATTTAGCCCATACATATTGTATTGACTGCATATGGAGTAATATAGAGTAATCATATTCTATTATACTATTATATAGTATATATGTCTCAATCATTTATGCATGTATTTATATTGCAAGGTGACACTTCTTTTTTCACTCTGACGATGTTGGAGGCTTGGCATTGTGGTCTATAGATCATAGAAGGACTGATTGCAGTCCCAAAAACGTGGCCCAAAGATTTTCGACCCGGATATTTATCCGTAGCTTTGGATGTCTCTACTTTTCCATCCATTTCCTGTGGTTTTGAACCAAAACCCTTGGATAATCCTTGAACAGTTCCTCGAACTTGATTCCTCCCCTCCTGTGTCAAGAATCCTCGGCCGGCCAGGGAGCTCCTCTTTGGTGTCTTTGTTTTGGCCTTCATGCAACAACCCTCCAAAGCCCTCGGGCACCGGGCGCCCAGGGTTTCCGGGACGGAGCGGTTGGACCAGTGGCTTGGTGTTGAACTGAAAGGCTCCTGGAGGTTCATAGTGGTAGGTTAGGTCCATAGTGGTAGGTTAGGTCCATAGTGGTGGGTTCTTGAGATGGTGTGCTCATTTTTGAGGAAGATCTTCCCAGATGAGGTGGTATGCATCTGGTGGAAAAGGGAAACTTTTCTTTTGGTATGGCCACTGGATCTGGGAAATGTCGAGAACGAAGGAACATAGAAGTGGAGAACACGATGTTTCCCAGACACTACCCATAGCACTGGCCATATGATATATTGTGCCTACACTGGGATGGCTTCCGGTTTGCCATGAAGGCTGAGGTGACTGTTTTGGGCGTCTTGCTGTGTTTGCGGCAATGAGGGTGATTTTTGCAACAGTACCTGGATCAGAATGTCAGCCGACCAAGAACTGGATGGTGTGGTGTTGCAGTGTTCACTCAGAATCTGAAAAACAGCTAAGAGCGGCCTACTTTGGGAACGATACATGGAACTATTATGAACTATTAAAGATATGTAAAGATGCAACCATCATCGCACCATCATCAACATCCGCTGGGCCCTTGCGCTCCGCTCCCGGCCCCAAGTTGAAAGTGCGCGTCGAGCCGCTTGGCGAACAGCACTTGCAAAGCTTGTGCGTTCGCCCTACATCCTGCGGACAAAAGCTCGGGTGTCGTCTTCACGCGAGTCATGGAGTGGCTCGGGCTCGGTTGCTGCGTTCGTCGGACAGGCGAGGCGGCTCCGGGTGTGAGGATGAAGGACGCTTGAGCATTTGAGCAACTTGGGTGGTTGAACCTGCCGTTGAATCCTAAATCGAACTTTGTAAATACTTCAGTGGCGCATTGCCGCAAACCACGGCAAAGCATTGCAGATTCGCTTTGTTTATTTCTGAGAGATTTTAGAGCACAAATGAGAGGAGATGAGAGGAGATATGAAGAGGCCACGGATTTGGTTTCACTCACTCCATCGCTTGGTGTGTTGTTTTCACACGCAGGCGAACGACACGAGATAGTGATCCACAAGAGCGAGGAGGAGCCAACTGCACAGTCCTTTTCGAAACTCAACTGCAGATTCCTGGATGCCTGGTTTCCAACACCCAACACCTGGCTCGATTGTTGAAGACATTTCTATATGCTTCATTAGTTATTTTATAATCTGATGATATACGTTATGGTGATGTAATTTATCAAAGTGAAGTTTCTGTCTTTTCCATTGCTTTTGTCAAGGCAGTGCCCTGGGCCTTTTCACGCCAAAATCTGCTTTGTAAAACACTGAAAGGACGGGTTCCGTGACTGTGACTCCACTGACAGATCTTCTCAGCATGTCAGACTGCTCACCGTCTTCTGCACGCACGAAGGGTTCCTCCAAAACAGCCGATCGAACAAGTCCTGTTCTTTTGTCCTTCCTCCGGTGGACGATTCCGAACATCGTTTTGAGTCGCGATGCCCGAAATACTCCGTTCGTAGCGTCCGATCGCTCCTAGTAGCGATGCCCTTTGCTCCTAGTACTGTAGCTTCTTGTCCCTGCATGTTCCTGCTCTTCCAAGGTATTTCAAGGTTCCCGTAAAGGTTGCACGTCAAGACATTTCAAGACCATCTCTATGTGCTTCATGCAGCTTCTTTTGGTCCAAAGTGTGCCACCATGTTCCACCATGCTCCACCTGAATCATCCTATCTCATCCTGCCCTTCTTTCTGCGAAATCCAACGCTTCTCCAAACACTCCATGTATGGAGTATTTACATGTATTTACTACATTGACCCCAGGGCCAGGTTCTGCTAGCTCTAGATTCAAAAGCCAGACGGACTTGCTCCCATAAACCGACATCCGGGCCACCGAGGAATGTGGAACCTGCCGCTGAGTGTGCAAAGCCAAGCGAGGGAATGGGATTGGGGATGTGACTGGGGGTTATAGTTCCCACACATTGCCCATGAGACTATGAGACTGGTCTATTTACCTATATTGGTGTTGTTGACCTGGGGTCAATGTAGACATATATATTCCATACATGGAGTGTTTGGGGTTGGCTTGTGATGGAGTTCAACAGAGTGCGGGTCGCCTTTTCAATCCTTTTTTCCTTGAAACAAACATTGAAAAGGGATCTTGTGGATGCGGGCAAGGAGCCTCCAGGCTGAGCATTGTAACACCACATGCTCTTGCTACTTGGAAGACCTGGTAACGTGAAAGGTGACTTGACACAATGAGTGCCCTGCAAACCAAGGATAGCCAAGATTACATTCGAGCAGAGCCTTTGGCACTTTCAACAGCACAGAAGATAGTCCATTTTGGTCAGGCTGGTGGTCGGGCAGGCTAAATAGATAGAAACGGAGTCCCACACATCGATTGAATGATGTTTAGAGGGGATTTCTATACAGCTTGACATGCGGACTCTTCTTAGGCCTTTTGAACCTGATAATGTGGCATCAGCGTAGAATCAAGAGCTTGCCAACCTTGCTGCAGAATTGTCATGTCATGTTGGGATGCGGGTAATGTTGCCAGATCATTCTCAATGAATCCATATACTGCGAAGCAAAAAAATGAGCATACCTTTTCATATTTGGAACAGTTCAAAACATGTTCATCCAATCTCCACACTTCAACTTTTGGTTTTGCACCTTTCTACTGCGCTGTTCGAGCCTGTTCGAAACTCTCGAGGCGTCGAAGACGATTCGTTCCGACGCCGTTCCGCAAAAGACCTGTTTCGGGTTTCTTCGGTCCCGACCAACCCGATCCGTCCGGTCGTCCGGGCTTCGAAGGGATTTCTTAAACCACAAAAGGTTAAAGCCTTAGCAAAACACCAGACTGGACAGCCAAGGAAGTCTCCAAGAAAAGAGCCAAAAGCCTCGTTGCCCAGGTTTTTCCAGGGTCACTTTTCATCCAACGCCGAGTCCAACGCCGTCCTGACCAGGTTCTAGACTCGGCCCTGTTCAACAGCACGCGCGACGCGACGTTTGCCGGAAGAAGCGCCGAGCGCAGTGCGCATGACAGGAGGACCAGTCCATCTCCACGCGAGCACCATCAACTACCAGTACCTCTGAGACGCGACTTGTCGACACTAAGGAAGGTTCCGTACGTTGCTGCGAAAACATCGAGTGTTCGACCTGGCAAAATAGATGGGGGGACATAGTGACATGGTGACGTGCGAGTTCTCCATTCAGGGCCCGTTGAGGCGACGTTGGGCACATCTGGGAGGTTGGGCGAGTTTGGGCACATGGTACATGTGTCCGTGTCCAACATGCTGAAACCACCAGTCATAACCAGTCAACGACCTGATCGGCCTCACAGTCCCTAATTCTTGGGGTGCCTGCCCAAAATTTGTTGCACAAAAACTTTGCCCTGAGGTTATGGAAGCAAAGTCCCAAATCGCTGCCGCGATTCTACAGTGCCGGGTCAAATCTGGTCCGTTCAGGCGAAATGGAAGTTGGTACAGGGTCGAGGGAAGATGAGATGAACACAAGCGACAAAAGACGGTTTTGAGTATATCCTACCAATCGGTCACAGAATGGACGTTTGCGGGGCTATCACCATCCCCTGGGCTGGTTCCGTCGCCGATTTGGTCCATCACTCAGATCGAACTATGGAATAGATCGACCCCAAGTCAACCACTCCATGTATGCCATATGTGCCTACATTGATCCCCCAAACCACCCCAACCGATCGGTATATATGCCAGTCCCATGGAGTGTTTGGGTATACTTAGTATATGCCATCATATGCCGTCATCGCTTTTGGGTCGTTTCTTCTCCAATTCCCCGGGGCCCTGGGTGGAATTCGGTGGATCTAACGCTGTTTCCATTTCTGGGGCGACCCGGGTCTGTTGCTCCGCCAGCAGGTGGTCGGTGGTCGGCAATGGTCAGAGTGGGTAGTGTACATGGATCATCATGGATCCATCAGGATCCAACAGGATCCAACGGGATCCAACAGGATCCAACAGCAGGTTTTTATGATTTGCGAAGGTAGTTGGATGATGATGGACCCAAGCAGCCACTCTAAATCACACTGGTGGCAGACACCGCACCGAAGCTGGCATCCTGTGCATCAGCATCCCTGGAAGCTGACAGTTCCGGGGAAACGCTTGCTGTGACAACGCCACAGAGGTGGATGATATCTGGTAGGGCGTCAAATAGCTTGCCTCCTTCACTGGGTCCAACTTCCGTGACAACAACAACAACTACTACTACTACTACTCCTACTCCTACTACTCCTACTCCTACTCCTACTCCTACTACTACTACTACTACTACGACTACTACTACTACCGCCACCACCACTACTACTACCACTACCACCACTACTACTACCACTACTACCACCACTACCACCCATACTACCACTACTACCACCACTACCACCACTACCACTACCACCGCTACTGTTACTAAGTATTGCTTTCTTGTTGCTAACACGTGTCTCTTCCATTCTCTTCCTTTTTTGTCACTCCTACTTCTGTTAAGGCTGCCACTGTGCTGCCACTCACTGTGTATCCTCGTTGTTTTTTGGGTAAATTTGCTAGTTTTATTGTTGGCCTCTATGTGTTGTTCTATGTTGTTCTTTTGATTTATTTGTTTAAAATGGTATGGTACTTGATATATATAAGTAATTGTTTGTTTTTGTTTTGATCCCCTACCCGCCGTTCTGTCCACCTTTTTTTGCCAGACCGAAGCCGGAGCGATCCGAAGATCCTGCTGAGCGTCGGGCGGTTTCTGCGGAAGTGGCTCGGAAGTGGTTTCGTCGGACGCGGCTCGGAAGTGGTTTCGATGGACGGTCGGGACCTGATTTGGCACCTGAGAATCTGCATGCTGCAAGAATGGGAAGGTCAGGTCAGGTCGGCATCCGATGGGTTTCGATGGGAGGTGGAAGGTCTTTTGTGGCGGAAGGGCTTCGAAACTCGCAAATGTTGCGCAGATCTTCTCCAGCTGCACATGATCCTATACCCGGGAAGTACGTGGATCAATGTGAATCACCT